GGCGGCGACGGCGGCGACGGCGCCGCGGCACCGGCGCGCGGCGAGTCGCTCGTCGCGCTCCTCCTGACGACGCTCGCGGCGGCGATCCGCGGGTCCGCGCTCCACGCGGCGGAATTGTTGCGGCTCGGCGGCCTGCGCTTCGTCGAGCGCGCGCTCGCGCGCTGCGCCGACGGCGCCGTCGCGGAGGCCGACGGCGACGCCGCGCGCGTCGTCGGCGCCGTGCTCGCGCTCCGCGGCGCCGCGGCGGCCTGCGCGCCCCTCGAGGCCCAGATCTTCGCGCGGCTCCAGTTCCACACGGCCCTCTTCGTCGGGCGCCTCCGCGCGCACGCGCCGCGGCGGCTCCGCGACGCCTCGGTCGACGCGATGGTCGCGGCGACGCGCGAGCGGCCCGCGAGCGTCAACGCGCTCGTCGGCGTGTCGAAGCTGCTCGACGCGGCGCGCCAGGCGCGGCGCACGCGCCTGCGGCGCGGGCTCCTGGCCTGCGTCGCGTGCCTCGTGGAGGCGCGCGGCGCGGACGTCTACGACGCGGCCGCGGTGCTCGGCGCGCTCGCCCTGGGCAAGAAGCACGACGACGTCTGCCTCGCGCGGGGCGTCACCTTCCCCGTGGCGCCCAAGGTGCCCGGCGACGACGAGCGGCTGCCCTACGACGCGCTGTCGCGGGGCTGCGACCGCGACGCGGCGCTCGCGCACGACGCCGCGCACCTCGTGCTCCGGCTCCTGAAGCGGCGCCGGCGGCCGCGGGGCATCCCGTCCATGCTCCACGCGGCGTCGCGGGCGCTGAGCACGGCGGAGACGGGCGGCGACGCCGTCGAGGCCGACGGCGCGGACGGCGAGCCCGAGGCCGCGACGTCGTTCGAGGCCTTCTGCGTCGCGGCGCTCGTCGCGCGCTACCAGGAGCCGCTGCGCGCCGTCGGCGTGCGGCTCGTGACGGCGTCGCTCGCCGTGCGGGACCCGGGCGCGGGTGCCGGCGGCGGCGCGGAGCGCTTCGACGCGCTCCTGCCCGTGCTCCAGGACGCCTTATTCCGCCGCTGCGACCACATCGGCGTGCCGACCTACGCGGCCCTGCTCGAGATGACGCGGCTGCCCCTCGACGGGGCGGCGGCCGCGGCGCCGCCGGCGCCGGAGGGCGGCGGCGACGGTGCGCCGCGGTCGCGCGCGCTCGGCGACATCTGGGGAACCTCGGAGTTCGAGGCCGTCGGCGAGTCGATCTGGGAGGACCTCGAGGCGCCGCGGACGGCGCCGCGGCCGGGCGTCGTCGAGAGCTCGACGTTCACGGACTTCGACCCCGACGACGACGACGACGGCAGCGACTCGGACGCGGACGTCGTCGTCGACGACTACTTCGAGGACGAGTCCGCGGACCGCGTGCGGCGGCGGCCCCTCGACGCGCCCGGCGGCGCGGACCTGGCGCGGGAGGCGGACCGGGAACCCGTCAACGCGCGGCGGCTCCGCGCGGCGCGCGTCGCGCGGCGCGCGGCCGCCGCCGCGGGCCGGCGCCGCGCCGCGGACCGCGCGATGGTCGCGACCGCGCCGACGCGGCTGGACCCGGACGACATCTGGCGCGCGGGCGTCGTGCCCCGCGCGGCGTCGCCCCTCGCGCTCCTCCTGCGCCTCGTGCCCCACCTCCGGTCCTTCCTCGCGCGGCGCTTCCTCGGCGACGTCGCGCTCGTCTTGGCGTCGCGGCGCGCGCGCGTCGCTTTGGCCGCGAACCGCGACGTCGCGCCCTGCCTCTTCGCCCTCGCCGCGCCGACGCTGAAGCTCGACGGCGGCGCCGGCGGCGCCGGCGCGGCGCGGCCGGAGCGCCGCGGCGCGCCGCGGGCGAGGGGCCGCGGCGGCGCGTCGCAGGCGCACCACGACCTGCTCCGGCGCAAGGAGCGGTTCACGCGGTCCATGCGCGCGTACTCCATCCTCCTGCGGGAGCTGCTCCCGGGCTCGTCGGGCGCGACGGCCATCGCGCTGTCCGTGGCCATCAGCGCGCCGTCGTTCATGAACGCGGCGCGGGGCAAGCTGCTGTCCGCGCCGCGCTTCATCGCCGAGGCCGTGCGCGCGGACGCGCGCGGGTCGCTGTCGGGCAAGCGGACGCTGCGGGCCGCGCTCTCCCACGCCTTCGCCGCGCTCCACGCCGCGCGCGCGGCGACGAGGGACCACTGGGGGCGGTCGAGCGTGCAGACGCCCCTCGGCGCGCACGTCGTCCGCCTCGTCTTCGTCGCCGCGGCGCTCGTCGAGAACCGGCCGCCCGGCGCCAAGTGGATCGACGCGGACAAGTGGCGGCGGCGCCTCGACGCGATCACCTGCACGGACGACGACGACCTCGCGAACGTGCTCCTCGCCGTGCAGGCGCGCGAGGCGCTCACGGCCGTGCTCGGCGCGCGGCCCCTCGCGGCGACGCGCGGCGGCGCGCGGAAGCCGCGCGGCTTCGGCTTCGGGTCCGCCCGGGCGGCGCCCGCGGCCGCCGCGAAGGACGCGGACGAGTACGCGCCGGGCGGCCTCGCGGCGGGCGTCGCGCCGCACCACCGCGACGAGACGGCGCGCGTCAAGGCGCGCGCGCGGCTCTACAGCGCGGACGGCGCGCTGCCGCAGCAGTCCGCGCTCGTCTTCGAGCTCCTGCGCCTGAGCCACGTCGCGCTGTCCGCGCTGCACCCCGCGACGGCGGAGGCGGCCGTCAACGCCGGCTGGACGCGCTACTTTTTGAGCAGCGTGCTCGACGTCTTCGGCGAGCCCCGCGAGGAGCACCGGCGGAGCTTGCGGGACGCGCGGCGGAAGACGCTCGGCCGGCGCCTGAAGACGAAGGCGCACGCGGCGCTCATGCCCTTCTGCGGCGAGACGGGCGACGACGACGGCGACGACGACCGCGAGAGCGTCGGCTGGGTGCTCGCGACCGTGTCGGCGCTGCGGGACGAGCTCCGGGCCGCGCGCGACGCCTTTTTTTTCAGCGAGCGATCGGGCGTCGACGTCGGCGCCGCGCGCCGCGCCGCGGGCCTGCTGCCGAAGAGCGGCTCGGGCGGCGACCTGCGCAAGCAGCTCGGCGCCCCGGACGGCGGGGGCGAGGGCCGCGTGTCCTTCGCGCCGTCGAGCGAGCTGCGGACGCCGCGGCGCCGCGCCGCGGCCGTCGCGTTCGCGCGCGAGGCGTCGACGGCGCTCCGCGACGCGATGCGCCGCGTGCGGAGCCCGCTGGGCCGCTTCCTCAAGCCCCAGGCCGTGGCGAACATGCGCCACATGCTCGACGAGGCGACGATCTGCGGCCAGATGGCCAAGCGCCTCCGCGCGGACGAGCTCGGCGAGCGCGCGCCGCGGGGTCTGTGGTTCGCGATGACCGCGTCGCCCCGGGCGGGAAACAAACGACTTCAACATGCATGCATTCGAAGAGTTTCGACGTACCTTTTTCACTGTCTAAAAAGAACTCGCCGCGAGAAAACGATCCGTCCAAAAATCAGTCGAATCGACTTCGACGCGACCGAGCTCGAGAGGTTTGAAGTTTTCGCCGGACGGGGCGTTCCACCGGTCGTTTCCGGCGCAGGCGTCGCCCGAGTCCGACAGCGACGCGGACGACTCGCTGCTCGCCACGGCGGCGGAGCCCGACGGCGACGGCGACGCGGCCGCGCGCGACGGGGACGCGCCGCCGAGCCGCCTCCCCGTCGCGCGGCCCGCGGCGAAGCGGCGGTCCGGCGCGCCGGGGCAGCCCGCGGCGCGGGCGCCGCGGCGCGCGGAGGCCGCGGAGGCGTCGGCGGCGCCGAGCGGCGCGGACCGCGACGCCTGGCTGCGCAACGGCGAGGCCGTGCGGCGCCTCGCGGAGCTCGGCTGGCTCCGGTGCTCCTGGCTCGGCGGCGACCGCGCGGGCGACGACGAGCGGCGCCTCGAGATCGCCGCGCGCCACGTGGCCCGCATCGGCGCGCGGTCGGCGACGGCGGGCTTCGACGCGGCCGCCGAGGCCGGGAGCCGCGCCTGCGCGCGGCGCGACGCGGCGCTCGCGAAGCAGGGCGCCGCGCTGCGGCGCCGCGCGCGCGCGGAGCGCGAGTGCGACCTCCGGTGCCGCGACGGCGACTACCGCCGCGACTGCCACCTCGCGGCCGCGGCGCGCGACGTGCGCGCCGCCGACGTCGCCTGGCGCGCGCTCCGGGCGTCGACGCGCGACGCGGGCTGGGCGCCCTTCGCCGCGGACGCCGTCGCGCCCGACGACCGGCGCGACGGCGCGCGGCGCCGCGGCGCCGCGGCGCCGCGGCGCCTCCGCGTGGCGACGGGCCACCGCGACGCGCGGGGGCGGCGGGCGCTCCTCGCGCCGGCGCCGCGCGTCGCGAGCCACGAGGGCGCGGCCTACCGCCGCCGCGAGGCCCAGGGCGACGGCTTCGGGGCCAAGGGCTTCGACGACGACGACGCGCGGGACCGGGTGCGCCGCGCGGAGAAGCGGCGGCGGCGGCGCTGGTGCGCCGACGCGCGGCGCGAGGCGAGCCGCGCGGCGACGCGCCAGCTCGGCGTCTTCGAGGGCGACCAGGCGGCCTTCGCGGGCGAGGGCGACCGGGCCGCGGCCGAGAAGCCCGCGAGGAGGCCCGCGGCGCCCGCCGCGCCGCCCCCGCGGCGCGACGACAGCGACGACGACGACCTCGTCGAGGCCGGCGCCCAGACCGCCGCCAGGCTCTGGCGCAGCTCGTCGAGCGAGAGCGACGGCGGCGGGTCCCTGAGCTCCGGGAGCGACGACTCCGAGAGCGACGGCTGCGGCAGCGACGGCTCCGACGTCGCGCCCGTGCCCGGCGTCGCCGACGTCTTCCGCAGCCCCTCGCGGGACCAGTGCGTCGCCGCCTACGCCGTGCGCGTCGTCACGCCCCGGGGGCCCGTCAAAGGGGAGCTCCGCGTCGCGCCGCGGTCGCTCTACTTCGTCGCGGGCGCGTCCGCCGCGGAGCTCAAGAAGGGCGAGAACGCGCCGGAGCGCTGGCGCCTCGACGGCCTCACGGCCGTGCGCGGGCGGCGCTACCTGCTGCGGCCCCTGGCCCTCGAGTTCTTCTTCGCGACGCGGCGCGAGGTCTTCGTCGCGTTCGAGAGCCCCCAGGACCGCCGCGTCTGCTGGCGCCTCATGAAGCTCAAGGCGCGCATGCCCCTCGTGGCCCACCCGCCGGGGGGCACGAAGACCATGCGCGCGCCCCACCTCGAGCTCCACGCGATCCGGCTCACGGAGCGCTGGCGGCGGCGGCTCGTGACCAACTTCGAGTACGTCATGGCGCTCAACACGATCGCGGGCCGGTCCTACAACGACCTCGCGCAGTACTTCGTCTTCCCCTGGATCATCGCGGACTACGGCGGCGCGACGGCCGTGCCCGGCGAGCTCCGGGCGGCGCTGGGCATGGAGCCCGCGGCCGCGCCGCGCGAGCCGGGCGCGCGCGCGCCGCGGCCACCGCGCGAGTCCGAGGACCGCGTCGCGGACGCGGACCCGCCGTCCGACGACGACGACGACGTCCGCCTCGACGCCAACGACAGCGACGACGACGACGACGGCGGCGAGCCCGCGCCGCGCGCGGCCGCGACGGCCGCGCGCGCGATCGCGGCGCTCGCGACGCGCGCGTCGCCGCCGCCGTCGTCCGTGCTCCGGTCGCTCGCCGTCACGTCCTTCTACCGCGACCTCGCCAAGCCCGTGGGCGCCCTCGAGCCCGAGCGGCTCCGGGCCTTCGTGGAGCGCTACCGGTCCAGCGACGCCATGGGCGCGGACGACGACGACGCCGCGCGGTTCATGTACGGGTCCCACTACAGCTCCGCGGGCGTCGTGCTCCACTTCCTCGTGCGCCTCGAGCCCTTCACGTCCCTGGCCCTGGAGCTCCAGGGCGGCCACTTCGACTGCCCGGACCGCCTCTTCTTCGACGTCGCGGAGAGCTGGCGCGGGTGCACGACGTCCATGTCCGACGTCAAGGAGCTCGTGCCCGAGTTCTTCTACTGCCCCGAGCTCTTCGTCAACGACAACCGCTACCCGCTGGGCGAGCTCCAGGACGGCCGGGCCGTCGACGACGTGCTCCTGCCGGCGTGGGCCGCGGACGCGCGCGCCTTTGTGCGCGGCAACGCCGCGGCGCTCGAGTCCGAGGCCGTGTCCGCGGCGCTCCCGCGGTGGATCGACCTCGTCTTCGGCGTCGGCGCGAAGCGGGGGACGCACGCGGAGACGCACCACAACGTCTTCCACCCGCTGACCTACGAGGGCGGCGTGGACCTCACGCAGATCGCGGACGCGACGCTCCAGGCCGCGGAGGCGCAGATCACGCACTTCGGGCAGACGCCGCCGCCCCTCTTCGACGCGCCGCACCCGCCGCGGAGCCTCAAGGGCCAGCCGGAGGTCGGGGCGCTCTTCGACGACGACCGGGGCAGCCTCGCGGTCCACCGCGGCTACGGCGAGGCGCGGCTCGCGGCGCCACCGCCGGAGCCGCCGACGGAGGAGGTCGAAGCCGCGGAGCGCGTCCCGGAGCGGCCGGCCGACGCGCTCACGCGCGTCGAGTCGAGCGACGCCATCCAGCGGCGCGTCTACGACGCCCGGGTGCTCGAGCGGCTGCCGCCGCCGTCGCCGCCGCGCGGCGGCGTCGTCGCCGCCGCGGGCCGCGGCGACGACTCGGAGCTCGACGACCTCGCCGACGTCGACCTCGACTCCGACGACGGCGCGCCGGAGCCGCCGCCGCCGCGGACCTCGAGGAACGCGCGGCTGCCCTGGGGCGCGCCCGCGGTCTCGAGGGCGGCCGCGGCGCCCGCGCGGCCGCGGCCGCGGCCGCCGCCGTCGCCGCCGCGCGGCTCGCCGCCGCCGCCGCCGAAGCCGGCGCCCGCGCCCGTCTACCGGAGCGGCGCCATGGGCGCCGTCGTCGCCGTCATGGCCAGCGGCAAGAACCGCGTCGTCTGCGTCCACGCGGACCTGACCGCGCGCGCGCCGCGCCCTCGCGCGAGACCGGTCGCGTCGACCCCCCCCCCCCCCGCAGGTCGCCGCGTTCTACTTCAAGCCGGCGCCCGACGGCTACGGGCGGCCGTTCAGCCTCCGCCTCGAGTTCCGGAAGCAGCTGCCGTCCTTCCCGCTGTCCCGCGCGCGGCTCCGCGTCGACGCGGCGCCCGTCGGCGACGGCGCGGCGCCAGAGCGCGACTGCTTCAAGCGCGCGGCGCGCGCCGCGCGCGCCGCGGGCCGCGCCTGGCACGGCCGCGCCCAGTACTGCCTGTGCCTGGCGACGCCGGGCAACCTGAGCGGCCTGAGCCTCACGGCGGAGCCGTCGCCGCAGCAGGCCTACGTGAAGCGCAAGGGCAACGTCGCGCTGCAGGCGCCGCACCACGGCGGCGTCACCGTCGGCGTCGTCGGCTGCAGCGGCGCCGGCGACCTGACGCGCGTCGTCTCCGCGGGCTACTTCGACGGCGCGATCCGCTGCCACGGCGTCCTCGACGGCCTCGAGGCCCAGGGCGCGGCCGCGCGGCGCCGGGGCACGCGGCACTGCGGCGCGACGGTCGTCGCCGGGGCGGGAAACGAGCGATTCGAGCTAGCTTCAACATGAGTGTTCCGCGCGCGCGAGTTCCAGAAGAAGCATCCACGCTTCGAGAGCGCTCCAAGAGATGATCGCTCGTCCCAAAATCAGCCGAAACGAGTGGAAAACGGCCGAGAGCGGAGCCTTTGAAGTTTGGGAATTTCGCACTCTTTTCCCGCCCAGGTCGTTGCGGCGGCCGAGTGCGGCCGCGTCGTCGTCAGCGGCCACGCGGACGGCACGGCGACGGTCTGGGTCGACGACTTCGGGGACATGGCCGCGGCGCTGGCGTCGGACGACGTCCTCGTCGCCGCGGCGGACGGCAAGCCCCACGGCCGCGGCGCGGCCGCGCTCGGCGCCGTCGTCGAGGGCGCGCGGTCCACGGCGAAGGCGCGGCGCCTCGCGCCGGCGAGGAAGGGCGGCCCCGCCAGGGCGCCGCCGCCGCCCAAGGCCCCGGGCGACGACGAGCGCCGCCGCCCGTCGGGCGAGGCGCCGCCCGCGGCCGCGCCGCCGCGCGGCGCCGCCGCGGCCGAGAGCTCCGACGACGACGACGACCGCGAGGACGCCTACGCCTACGGCGGCGACGCCGCCGGCGCCGCGGGCGAGGCCGCGACGCCCGAGGACGAGGACTACGACGAGGACGCGCTCTTCGGCGCGTCGCTCGCGGCCGTCGACGCGCGGCTCCGCGCGTCGAGCGAGTTCGACCACTTCGAGCGCCTGGGCAAGGCGCGCAACAACCGGAACCGCAAGGCGCGGTCCGCGGCGTCCAAGGAGGAGGACGACCTGCGCCTGCTGCGGTCCGAGCGCGCGGATCCGAGCGCGCTGAGCCCCGTGCACGTGCTCCGCGGCGGCGAGCTGCCCGTCTGCGCCGTCGCCGTGCGCAGCGACCTGGACCTCGTCGCGGCGGCCTACCCCGACGGGACCATCGCGCTCCACACGGCGCGCCGGGGGAGGTTCGTGCGCCGCCTCGGCGCGCCGGGCGACGACGGCCGCGCGCGCGCCGCGCGCGCGGCCGCGGCCGCGCCGGACGCGGACCGGCTCCCCGACGCCGCGGGCCACGCCGTCGCGCTGAGCCTCGCGGGCTACGTCGTCTCCGCGTCCGCGCGGCCCTGCGCGTTCGACGAGCGGTCGCCGAGCACGATCCGCGTCTTCAGCCCCAACGACGCGCGGCCGCTCGCGACGCGCGACGAGCCCCGCCGCGTCTCCGCGCTCGCGCTGTCGCGGTCCGGCGAGTTCTGCGTCTTCGGGGGGGACGCGCCCCACCTGACCGTGTGCCGCGTCCACGACCTCCACGTGTGCCGCGAGATCCGCGCCTTCGACGAGGCGCCCGTGACCTGCCTCACCTTCTCCGAGGACCACACCCACCTCTTCGTCGCCCAGGAGGACGGCTGCATCCAGGTCGTCTCGCGGGCCTTCGACGGGGATGCGTAACGTTAACAGCGGGCTTTTGATGGGGAGGCGTAACATTGGGTTGCGCGCAACTTGCACGGGTGCAACTTCGTAGGTAAACATAGAGGCACGGAAGACTTCAATCGAAAGCCTAAATCTTGTTTTTTTCTTGCTGCTGCATTCATGAAGACGAAGCCCCACCGCTCCCGCGACGCACGCCGCACCGCTCTGCCAGCGTCGGGGCCGCGGCCTCCCCTCTTCCCGCACCTCGGCTGGCGTGGCGGCGTCGCGGCGTCGCGGTCCGCGCCCTCGAACAGCTGCGATGCGCCTGTGGCGTTTCTTCATCTGTGGCGTCGTCGGGGCTGGCGCAAACTCGACGTGGGCACCATCGGCCTCGCTCGCGACAGCAGAGTCCGAAGTTCTGCCCTACTACAGCTACGCGCCATTTTACTCTTACTCTTTTGGCGAAACAGCCGCGCCGTCGGCTACGCGCGCCCCGACCGCGTCGCCAGCCCCGACGACCAGACCTTCGGTCACGGCCGCACCGTCCGAGAAATGCCTCGACGTCGTGATGAGCGACTCCTGGGGCGACGGCTGGACCGGCGCGGTCTTGACCGTGAGTGACACCAGCGACGCGGTCGTCTTCACGGGACTGGTCGACAGCGGGTACATGCAGTCGGAGCGGCTCTGCCTCGAGGACGGCTGCTACCTGGCGAGCGTCAGCGATGACTTGTTCCCGAACGAGGTCAGCTTCACCATCGACGGCTACAATGGCACCTCTCCCTACGGTCCGGCGGCGTTTTTCGTCTCCGGCGGCTCCGTCATCGACTGGGGCTCTTCGTGCGACTCAGCGGCTCCGACGGCGACGCCCGCTCCGACTGGCACTCCGACTGCGAGACCGACAGCCGCGCCGTCGATGACTTTTCCACCGACGACTACCTTCGCGCCCACACGAGTGCCATACGAACTGGCCCCGACGGACGAATCGACGGCTTTTTGCGTGCTGCGCGAAATTGCTGGATGCTGGGGAAACCACCACTACTTCGTCAATGTGACTGCAAACAGTCCTTTCGACGGCGTTGACGGCATCACGCCCGCGCTCGTCGACCTCGACGGCGACGGCGACCTCGACCTCGTCGTGGGCGACGGCGACGGCGTCCTCTACTACTACGAGAACGTCGGGTCCGCGGCGTCGCCGACCTACGAGGCCAGGACCGGCACCACAAGCCCCTTCGACGGCATCGACGTCGGTATCGACAGCGCGCCCGCGTTCGTCGACCTCGACGGCGACGGCGACCTCGACCTCGTCGTGGGCGAAGAGGACGGCACCCTCCACTACTACGAGAACGTCGGGTCCGCGGCGTCGCCGAGCTACGCGGTCGTCAGCGGCGCCGCGAGCCCCTTCGACGGCATCTACGCCGGTGGCTACAGCGCGCCCGCGTTCGCCGACGTCGACGGCGACGGCGACCTCGACCTTGTCGTGGGCGAAATCTACGGCGCCCTCTACTACTTCGAGAACGTCGGGTCCGCGACGTCGCCGAGCTACGCGGTAATTACCGGCACGGCGAGCCCTTTTGGAGGCATCGACGTCTATGATTGGAGCGCGCCCGCGTTCAGCGACCTCGACAACGACGGCGACCTCGACCTCGTCGTTGGCGAAGGCAGCGGTCAGCTCTTTTTCTTCCCCAATGGCTATTGCACGACTTCTTGCAACGAAAAGGGGCTTTGCGACGATTCGATCGGCTTCAGTGCCGCGTCCTGCCAATGTCTCGGCGGGTATTCAGGCCTCCACTGTGGCGAGTGCCAGGACGGATTTTTCGGCACCTCCTGCGAACTCTGCCCCGAGGGAGGTTTCGAAGACCGCAACGCGCCGCGGCTCACGGACACCTGCGGAGTCGCCGGGAGCGGTCGATCGCGTGGTTCCTGCGACGCTGGCGTCCGAGGCTCTGGAACTTGCACGTGCTTTGACGGCTTTTCCGGAGAAAGCTGCACAGAAGGCGCCTGCCCCGCGGGCACGATCGAGACCGCGTCCTTCGACGGCTCGTTCAACATCGCCGCCTGCGAGCCCTGCGACGCCGGCGCGTATTCGAACGAGGGCGATGCCCTGTGCACCGCGTGCGAAGCCGGAGCCTATTCGAAGTCAGGCGCCAGCGAATGCTTGCCGTGTCCGAAAGGCACGTTCTCCAGTCCCGGCGCGGGCGTCTGCACTCCCTGCGTAGAGGGCACGTACGCGTCGACGCCGGGCCAGTCGTCCTGCAAGCAGTGCCCGCCCTTCTCGACGACGCTGACCAAGGGCGCCACCGGCTGCTACTCGTGCCTCGAGGACTCCTACTTTTCGCCGTTTCCCGTCGACACGGACGGCGGCGAGCTCGTGCCGTGCGACAACGCGACGGCGCTCGAGGAGAGCTGCGCACGCGACAGCTCCACATGCTTCGACAAGTGTTGTGTCGGATGCGAGCGCGGCATGGACTGCGAGAACGCGACGTTGAACACGCTGACGGACGTCCCGATCGAGAGCGGCTGGTGGCGCGCGTCGCGCTACTCCGACGAGGTCTATCAATGTCAGTATTCAGGAGCGTGCAAGGATGGTGCTTGCGCCGAGGGTCACAAGGGCGTGGCATGCCGCGTCTGCCAACAGAGCTACCACTTCGACACGCTCTTGAGACGCTGCGACGAATGCACCGGTACTTCGTTGGATCCTCTCACGATTGCGAGTGGCATCTCCCTGGTGATCCTTCTGCTGGCCTTCGCCATCGTGGCATACCGATCCCACAAGGACGAAATCTTGGGCACTGCGGTCGCCATGGCGAAAAAGGGTATTGCCGAACACGTCGCAGGACACGTCTACGACAGAACACTCGGTGGAGTCTCCGAGGAAACTGAGCGCCACACAAGCGACGGCTCGGGTGGCGAGGAGGTGCAGACTGAAGAGGAGGCGAGGTGGGCGAAAACGAGACGTTCACTAAAGACCAAATTCAAGATTCTCCTCGGCGTTTACCAAGTTCAGGACGCCCTCCCGTGGACGCTCCCAACAGTGTCGTTCCCGAAGGCTTTCGAGGCCCTCGTCACGTGGATGTCGTTCCTCGAGCTCAACATCGTGCAGGTGCTCCCCTTGTCGTGCCTCCGTCCGTTTAGCTACTTTGATCGACTGCTCGCGATGACGGTCGTTCCGCTCGCATTCGCAGTGCTGATTTTTGGCATTGGCAAGATTGCCATCAAATGCGCTGGAGCGGAACGCAGGAGTCTCGCTCGAACCCATACTTTTGGTTGGTTTCTGCTGCTTACTTTCATTGTTTTCCCGAGCGTGTCGACGACGGTGCTCCGTTTCTTCCAATGCGTCTCGTACGACAAGGGCATGGCCGATGGCTCGACCGAGGTGCTCAAAGTCCTCGAGGCGGACCACGACATCTCGTGCGAGTCGCCGAGCTATCACGCATGGAAGGCCTACGCCGCGGTAATGCTCTTTGTGTACCCCATTGGAGTGCCCGTCTTGTATTGGACTCTTCTTTTTCGGCACCGCAAACAGATAAACCCAGAAGTCAACGACAGTCCGCTCGGCGAGATCGAAGAGCCGGATGAGGGGCGGCCTCGCAGCCCTTCAGCGGAGGCGTACCTGCGGATCAGTGAACGATTTTCATTCACCCGGCAGAATTCGTCTGCACGAGACTTGATGAAATCGGTTCTTGGCCTGAACAAGCTCTCCCAAGAAGAGATTCAGCGACACAAGTTGGCACTTCGCAATGCCGATGATTCCATTCACCACCTACTTTTTCTATTCGAAGAGTACGAGCCGCGCTGCTACCAGTTCGTGGTCTTCGAATGCGCTCGGAAGCTGGCGTTGACGGGATTGCTGATCTTCGTGTATGCTGGATCTGCGTCGCAGATAGGCATCGGCCTCCTCATCGCGATCCTTTCTGATAAGTACTACACGCACGTCCGGCCCTACATCGAGGATACGGATGACAATCTCGCGAACGTTGGCAATGCTCAGATCATCCTCGTCTTCATCGCGTCACTGATGCTTTTTATCAAAGACATGGACGAGCAAAGCGGTGC